ATCACTGGACTGAAAGTCACTCTTTCCTGATACAATGGTAGTATGAAAGGTCAATTGATACATCCTAGACCCATCACAAGACATCCTTGGACCTCTTTTCCTTTTCTGGTAACTTTAGAGGAACTTCCACTTTAGATATTCCTTGTATCTAGTTACTAGGAAAGTTATGCATAATTGCTGCCTTGGGTATTCCTTCTACCTAGCAACTAAGAAAGTTATGCATAATTAGTGGCAATACTCCAAATACTAGCATATGCCCTACTCCAAGCTTCAAATTACATATGAATTTAAAACAATAAGGTATTATAAACGATAGTTTGCCACCTTATAAGGTGTGGAAACAACTTTATTTTTAATCTATGTTCACTACTAGTTTTACATTACATCTTTAAATAGAAATGGGTAGGTTGGTATAAAAATTACCCAATGATCTGCAGCAATTCTTTAATCATAATAGTGGCACAGGATCGGTTGTAATTTTACTTTCAATCATGTTATAAAATTAATATAGTCTCTCTCTCTCTCTCTCTCTCTCTATATATATATATATATATATATATATATATATTTTTTTTCTTTCTCTCTCTCCTGTAAAGTAATGATTCATCTAGAAAGATGAGACATATTTATCTACATGAACTATTCATACTCTATTTTTCAAATGTTCCTACTTTGTTTCAACAGTATTGCGGAACCTATTATAGTGGAACCTATTACCCTTCTCTGAGAAAAATGGAATATATAAGCTTGTATTGCCTAAAGATATTTTTCTCTTAGCATTTATTTTATTTTCAAAATCAACATGCATCAAAATTCCATCTTTGAGTACCATTTATCCTCATTTGCCAGTTTCATCTGGAAAATAAATGGGTTAATCTGAAGAAACTCTCAGCTTCTTATATTATTAAATATGGTACATGCTTAATTTAGGATTCTAATTAGTAGTCAGGATTCTAATGACATTTGTGATACTATATTATAGCATGTATTTTTAAATGGTAATAATTTAAATTGACTAATAAATGACATAGCATAATGCAATAAATTATTTCTAAATTTCATTTATTATAACTTTTTTCCAAGGACATGTGATTTATAATAGATATACTATAACACTTTAGTATGAAGTAGAAATATACCAGGACTTCAAAAATTTCTTCTTATTAATTGATAAAAAAATGAATAATAAGTACACTAAACAATTTTTCCAATAATAGTATAATTAAAGCATCAGAGAATTTTAAGAAATTAATTCTAGAAGATGTAGCAGTTATTGCTCTCAAAGTCTTTAGTCATTAAGAAATAGAACAATAGGAAATCTCACCTATTGTTAGAGGTGATGCTGACTGATCCCAAAATGCTACCCTAGAAAACTGTTTATGAAAATATTAACTATGCATCTATCATATTATCCAGCAATATCATTCCTGTCTTACCCAGGAGAGATAAATACATATGTTTTATGATTTTAAAATCCTTGTACAAATAATACAGCATGTTAATTCATGATAATCTCAAACTAGAAATAGCCAAGATATCCTTCAATAGAAGATGGATTAAAAAATGTGGAGATTTTTACAATACATTATTCACCATAGTTACAACAATGCAGATAAATCTCAAAAACATTTTGCCTTATGAAAAAGGCTGAACACCCCAGACTATATGCTCTGTGATCACATGCAAATAATTTTCTAACAAGGGAAAATCTAATTATTGATTGATTCAGATGAGTGATTATTTCTGAGAGGGGTATCAATGGAAAAGGATAGGAAGGAACTTTCTAGAGTGATGAAAATGTTACATACCTTGACCCTATTAACTGATCAACTTACACATTTAAAATATGTTGATTTCACCACACATAAATAATATCTTAATTATTTTTAAAGCCCTTCATGAAAATAAAAAGTATTTACAAATCAATTGAAACTTTGTTCTTCCTACTCAGCTTCATTCCCAACCATAGCTCCTCAGGAGTAGTCATGATTCTGAAATTAGTGTGTATGCCTTCAAGATATTACACAGTATTTGTACTACACATGCACATAGCTATTACGAGGGACAATATCTCTCTAGCTTAAAAATATTTTTTCTGTATATTAAAGTAACATGATTTTAAAATTCGGAGTAACTGCATGTCTTGATTTTGTGTAAGATTTCATTCACATATTTTTAAAGCATATAAAAATGTGTATTGAATTAAATTTTCATTATAGAAAGAAAAATACACATATTTCTCATAAATAATTCTTCATATTAATTTAATGTTTTTCTACTATAGATCACTTCCCCTCAGACTCAGAAATTAATGAAAGATTCCAAATTATTTCCAATGAATCAATATTCACTAATTTAATTACTAATATTCTTAATGGTACTTGACATTTCTTGAATTATTTCTAGGTCTTATGAGCCCATGTTCACATTTTGTTTCCATTCTTAGAGGACCTTTGACTTTTTATTTGGTTCCTTAGAACATATCTCTCAATTCCCCCAACTGTGCACAACTCCCCCATATGTTATTTTCTTTCTGCACTACCTGCTTCTTAAATATAAGGACATTTCTGTATATAACTAAGTGTCTTGATTAACTATAATCATTGCAAGGAATTAAATATGTATATTACAACAAGCATTTGCATACACCATTGAAATAATACAGGACTTCCTATGTTATAGGACTTTCTATTTGTATTCTGAGTTTCTCTATTCTAGGCCTTTTAAATCTAACTGAGGGTAAAAGATTCATTTTCTTTCTATTCTCATTTTGGCTGTACATCAATAGTATCAGGAAAGACTAAAATCATGATGGCAGTAAACACTGATAAGGGCTTTATCTTTAGTCTATCCTTTAATATTTTCATCAATCCCATTAGGTAGTTAACTGCACACTGTTTACTCTATTCCAACTTAGATTTCTAATTGCCACTTAAAACTTAACTTTAAAAAAATTAAATTTCTAAGGTTTTTTTCCCCCAAAACCAACTCTTTTCTCAATCTTTTCCATCTCAGTAAATGGTAGCTATGTTATTGCAGGTGATTATGCAAAAAATATGGAGTAATTAGTGACCTTTATCTTTTTCTCCCACTTCATTTATAATCTATTTAATTATTAATATATATGTTTTTAACTTTCAGAATATATCTGTAATATGGCAACTTATCATTCTCACCACAGATGCTTCCAAATGGAACATATTTTTTCTCTCCATCGCTTCAGTTTTCTTTTTAACAGATAACCTGAAGTTATATATTACAATAACAGTCGGCATAATTGTTTTCTTGATGTCCTTTCAATGCCCAATAACACCCTGCAGCAGTGGCCACGTTTGCCTGTGTGAACTCAGTTCCACTAAATTCAGTATTTTCCAACCACACTAATCCAGTCAATATTTCTCAGACTTGCCAAGCACACTCATATACCAGGACCTTTGCAGATTAGTTCTTGAACTATATTCAAGTTTTACTTTCTTGCCCTAACTGGTTTGGCTCAGTGGATAGAGCATTGGTCTGTGGACTCAAGGGTCCCAAGTTCGATTACAGTCAAGGGGATGTACCTCGGTTGCAGGCACATCTCCAGTAGGATGTGTGCAGGGAGCAGCTGATCAATGTTTCTCTCTCATCAATGTTTCTCTCTATCCCTTTCCCTTTCTCTCTGTAAAAAAATTAATAAAATATATTTAAAAAGACAGATGGCTGTGAGGCAGCAGCAAAGGAGATAAAAATTAGAAACATTAAAAAATAGCAGTTCCATGACACATAATCCCATGGGAGAAGCAGCTTTAAACTGTTAAATACCTTGTGCATTATAATTGGTCTTCTTTAGTGTTAAGAATGTAGTCACATGTGTGGTAAATTTTACTATCAAAATTATTAGGAATTTTAACATCTTGATGTTTAAACATTAATGCTTCAACTAAACAGAGGACTTTTTTTGTTTGTTTGTTTTTTCAAAATGGTTCATTTTCTAATACTTGCATGCACCTAGAAATTAGCATTTTCTTCAGAAGTCTCAAATTGGCAGCATTTGGGCAAAAATTTTTGTGCTTGAGTTCTGTCAGCAAAAACAACATTTTAAAATACTAGTAGTTTTAATTAATTGACAATCAATATTCAAACACATTATGAATATATAATAAAACAGCTTATCCTAAAATATTGGAAAATGTGACAACAATGGGGCCTGTATATTACATGTCAAAATTAACTGGAGCTGAATATTAACCTTTCCCTTCATACCAGGCTTGAATTCTCAGAAGACCTACAGACCCCATATCTTATTTTCTTAAATCTGGATCTATATTAGGCACTAATTTACCTGCCTGGTCACTATAGCCATTTTATTTTGTGACTTCTGTAAAGCATAGATACTAATTCTCTTTACAGTCTTATAAATGAGATTAAATATCACTATTATTACTTTACAGTTTCAGAAATTACTGAGAGAAGTTAAGAAAGTATATGCTTATGAAAGTTAGTGCTCATTAATAAGAGGGCTGGGTTTCCCATTATAATCACGGAAACTTGCATATGATAACCATATTTTTAAGTGTTGGCAAATTGTGAGTACTGAATATGGTGAGGATATTTTTAATACATTAATGACACTGCAATTAACATATCCAAAATGTCATTTTAAATATTAATATTTATTCAAGATTTTTGGACTAGAAATTACATTAAGGTACCTCTAGGAGAAATATCAAAACTTATCCTGAACCACACAGTGAGTATTTGGCAGAAGCAAGCTATACAGATGTGGAATATAGATAGTCACTGCACATTATAAGATTCTCATTTCCTGTTATGTTCTAAATCAACCTGAGGGAAAGCATTCCTTGGCATACATGGTACAAACTTTAGATGGAAAATCAATTTCTAATCATCAGGACTTCTTAGAATTAAAATTTATTTTAGGTATTTTAAACCACAGAATTACCATATCATGGAGGTGCAGGGTTTAAATAGTGCTGTGATCGATCACCTGTCACAGATCTCCCACTGCCTGGCCTTCTTGTCTTCCACCTAGGAAACAAGGTAATGCTTTTATTTATCCTTTTGTTGTTCTAGATGCCTTATAACATTGCTCTAAAATATTTTTAAAAGAAACTAGTATCTGTGTACCATAAGACATTTGAGAAGTTTTCTTATAACCAATAGCTAAATTACTTATACATAAGACCAATAATCATAACTTTCTATGACAGAAGAAACTTCTACATTTTAGAAACTAAGAACTTACATTATGTTCTTTTCTTTTTATTTTATTTTTTAATTAGATTTACAGAATTTACATTATGGTCTATTAATAAAATTTCTCCACATAAACTTGAATAGCCATATCCATATACTTATCAATGAATCTGATATTATCGGTCTTCATTTCCCTTCCCCAAGTATCCAAAGCAAAGTTAAATTAATACATAAGTAATGACTAAATATGTAATTTTGAGGAGAGTAAAACCAGTACTGATTTGCTATTTATCTGTTTTACAGGACAAAGTAAACATGAAGTTCTTCATTTTTACTTGCCTTTTGGCTGTTGCTCTTGCAAAGCATGTAAGTAGAAGGAGACCTTTATAAGTGTCTATTTTTATTTAAGTTCTAGAGGCCCAATGCATGAAAGTCTTGCCTGGGGAGGCTCCCTGTGTGATACCCCTAATCCCTCTGCCTGCCTGCCTGATTGCCCCTAAACACTCTGCCTGCCTGATCGCCCCTAACCCCTCTGCCTCCCTGCCTTAGGGTGTGGGGCAGCCTGGGTGAGGGGCCTGTGGTGGTTTGCAGACCACACACACACTCGGTGACCCAAGCGGAGGCCCTGGTATCTGGGATTTATTTATCTTCCATAATTGAAACTTTGTAGCCTTCAGTGGAGACCAGGGCAGGCCAGGGCAGGCGGGAAGCTTGACTTTCTCCATTGCCAGGGGCAACCAAAGCCTCCTACTCTCTCCAGCTCCATGGCCACAGCCATTTTTATTGGGATTTATTTATCTTCTATAATTGAAACTTTGTAGCCTTGAGTGGAGGCAGACAGGAAGCTTAGCTTCTTCCATTGCTGGGGCCAATCCAAGCTTCCTGCTTGCTCCAGCTCTGTGATTGCTACCATATTTGTTGGGTTAATTTGCAAACTTGCTCCTGATTGGCTTGTAGGCATGGCTTCTGGGCATAGTGGAGGTATGGTCAATTTGCATGTTTCTCTTTTATTAGATGAATAAGAAGAGTGATTCTTTTATGCAGATGAATAGGCAGCAAGGAATAGACACTAAGTGTGTAGGTCTTTAAAAACTGTAATTAAATGTAGCATTGGCCCTGCCTTATGTAAGATATCACATGGAAAGACTTCTTTTTTTTTAATATATTTTATTGATTTTTTACAGAGAGGAGGAAAGAGGGATAGAGAGCTAGAAACGTTGATGAGAGAGAAACATCAACCAGCTGCCTCTTGCACAGCCCCTACCGGGGATGTGCCCGCAACCAAGGCACATGCCCTTGACCGGAATCTAACCTGGGACCTTTCAGTCCGCAGACCAATGCTCTACCACTGAGCCAAACCGGTTTTGGTGGAAAGACTTCTTATTACAAAGTATTTTCTTTGTAAGTTTGAGGAGATTTTAGTTGTAAGTTAAAAGGCATACAGTTCCTTCCATGTCTGTTTAAATTTACTAGGGTACTATTTTCACTCCAATAATTACTTCCTAAAAGGGTGAAATATATAACTATATATAACACATTATAAACCATATATAGCATTATATAAGACATAACTAGAATATCTTTGAAAGAGCAAAAATGCCACAGATAATATGTAGATTTCAAAACCATCTCTCAACAAGTGACAAAATTTTACCATTGTTATTCCAATGGATTAGAATCCATGATGTCTAGAAAGGAAATAAGGATGTGTTGAAGAGGAGTAACTTTGAAAATTCCTTGCCAAATAAACTAATGCAAAATAACCCTTACCTTGTCAAAGCATCACATCCTTTTAGTGAGAATGTTATAAAAATGTTCATATCATAAATGATAAGGATGAACTATGTACTTTGTGTGAAGTGCTTTTAAAACATGTACAAGTAATCTATAAAACTTTCTCAGTTGTAACACATGTTTTTTCCATACCCAGAAGTTCTCACCAATCATCCTTCTAAGTGCATCATAACCTTAGGGAGAATCACGGTCTTTTGCTTCCTCTGTGTTCTATATCTCACACATAAATCTTCAAAAAATTTTGTTATTTCTTAAATTGAGAGCCACTTCAAGAGTATAGCTAGGTTAAGAATTTTATATAGGTAAATAGGAAAAAATAATAATAATGCTTTGGGATACGTCTTACATCAAGCTTGATTGTTTCTTCTGCTTATAACCTGCTAGTCTTAACCACTCTTTTCTCTTTCTCTCTAAACCAGTAATTGTCCTCAATCTATCCTTTGAGATTAATTAAATCTAGTAATTAATACAAAATAAATAAAATATAATATGGTATTGCATTTTAAAATTTGGTAGCACATCTACACATATATTTTAAAATGTGTCAGGTTTAATATATATATATATATATATATATATATATATATATATATATATATATATATATATTATTGATTTTTTTACAGAGAGGAAGGGAGAGAGAGATAGAGAGCTAGAAACGTCGATCAGAGAGAAACATCAACCAGCTGCCTCTAGCACACCCACTACCGGGGATGTGCCTGCAACCAATGTTCAGGTTTAATATTTAAAACAAAGAGCCCAAACACTTCCAAAAAGTAAGAAATATATTACGCCATCATAAGGATTTATTTGAAGTACAAAATGACTTGCCTATTAATATTATAGAAATCATTCAACTAAACTCTAAACTTCCAAAAGTCCCTTGCTACCAAAATAATAACTAGAAAAAAAAAAACACACCACAAAACACAGTGATATAGCTTAGCATTTTAAATGAACCATAACACTGAAACTTGTATTTTTGTTTTTTATATAGAAGATGGAGCACAGCTCATCCAGTGAGGTAAGATACTTTAAACCTATATAATGAGAGAAATATGCTAATTATCCATTATACCCTGAGGCTTAATGATCCACTGAATAACAACTGGATCATGGATCAGCAGAGGGTGGGGCAGCTAACTACAAGCAGGAGCAGAGAGCTAAGGAGGGGGCAGGGCAGCAAGCTATGAGGAGTAGAAGGAGGAAAGGGAAAGGGGTGATCTATAGGAGTGTTGCAGCAACCTACTGGTGTATGGATTAGTGTTCAGGGCTAATAGTATAAACATAAAATCCTTTCACTAGTAAAAACATAATGTGCCTGAACTATTAAGTCTTTATAATAGGTGTTGTGTGTTTTTTTAGAGTCTTTTCTTTGTATTTTTATCAAGATGTCTAGAGCTACTCAGTCTGAGAAAATTGATATGCAGCCATTAAACCTTACCTATGGACTAGTAAAAAAAAAAAATGTACACATTGAAATTACCAAGCTTAGATTTATACAATGTGTTATCTAAAGGTCTCTTGATAGTAATGATATAATCTCAGAAGTTATTTTGTGAGTACAGTGACAGGAATCCATTGTATGTTTCTGAGATAAGGAATCACGCTTTTCTGGATTTGTATTAAATGCTAATTTTCAAATGACTTCTTGACCATGGATGTATAACAGATGCCTAAAGACATTTTCAATGTCACCTAAGGATTTTATTGTTTTCCTGTGATGTATTTCATCTCTTTAAAGAGTTCAAAAGAAAAAGTAGTAACTAAAAAAAAGAAGAAAATTAGAAATTGTACAGATGAGATAGAAAATTCTTTGTTCTCTGCAGATAATATTTGGGAAAGCTTCTTATTTGGGAAAGCTTTTTATTTATAACCCACAGTACAGTGTGGAATGAGTTTATTATCTGGAATATAATACATTAATTATACATAAAAACTAAACTTTGGGTTAATTTTGTTCTGAAATTTAGTCAAAGACTAAATATGTTTATCTACCCAATGGATAATGGTTGTGGGTTGATAAGTTTATTGCTAGTATGAATGCAATTTATCAATATGTAAATAAGTTACATTGTTTTTATTTTTCTAAGGAATCTGTCAACATCTCACAGGAAGTAAGTCCTAACTTCTTAAAATGCATATATTTTAACTTATTTTTTAATTAATCGAGGTTAGAAAATTATTTTATTTGTTTTGTAGAAATTTAAGCATGAAAAGAATGTGATCATTCACCCCATTAAGGTAATGTTTAATTATTTTAATCTATTAACCTTTGATGAGATATCTTTTCTCTTGAAACATGGTTCATTTTTCTCTTTCACCTAAAATTAACATTATTCTTAACTATGATTGTGAACATGGTGATGTTTTCATTGTTTTACCAAAATACTATAGACTAACATAAAAGGGATCCTAGTGAAGAACTTGTGAGTCATTTGCAAGCCACATTGTTAAAGCAGAAGATCTTTAAAAGAATTTCTTGTCAATGATCTTTCACCTTTATTTTTCCTCTCCAACATTATACTGTTTTGCTCAGAAATTTGCATTTTCTTGCTATGACTTTATGACCAAGGATATTCTACAGCATTTCAGTACATGTTATATTCTTTTTAGTTTTGTGTGTTTTCTTTTAAAGAGCATTTATTCCCCATCCTGTAAGGAATATATTGACTTCACATCTATAGTAAAATATGAAGTAAAAATATTATAGTACTTTGAACCAAATATAGTCCAACTCCATCAAATTTGAAAATCAAGATTATTTTTAAAGAATGAGATTGAAACTATATCCTCTCACTTAATTAGATTGAAGAAAGTAGATTTTTGCATGAATCAGTAAACTTAATTCTTAGATTCCAGGAGGAATGGAGAACTTATCTTTCAGTGTTTTTTATTTGTAAAAGCTCCAAAGTTAATATTTTCTTCTTTTTAAAAATTACTTTCCTATTTTAATTAATTTTCTTGAAATTGACTAGCAACTTTTAAAAGTAGCTTTAAAGTACTTGATCTGTTTATCATAGAAACAGTGTATATTTCCTTTAAAAACAAGTTTATTGTGTTTTATAATACAAAAGTAAATGATGACTAATAAAGTGAAGTTTATCCATACAATGCCTCGATTAATCTTTCATATACATCTATTCATTTGACAAACATTTATTGAATAAGAACTCTGTTCTGAACATCACCTTAGTTTCTAGGGATACAATAATAAATATAATAAATGGTATAAATACCAGTGGTTATATGTTTATTACCAAATGAGAAGGTTTAATATTACTTATACAAAACTCATACAATAAATATAAATTCATTCTACTATTTCACTTCATAGTAGAAGGCTTTTCCCTTTTCCCTTTAAATTTAGGAAAGAATGTTTTATTTAAAATACTGTGGAGATAATAGATCTAATTTTTTTTCTTTCTCTTTAAGGAATCTGCAAAGAACACAAAAGAAATGGTGAGAATTTTTTGTTTATTTGAACAATTTTTATTTGTATTACCATTATATAATATAGTATAGTGGCATATGGGAGTATTTGTAAATTTCCTCTTTTAAGAAACTGAATAAAGATTTATAAGTTGCTTTAAAGTGACAGTTTTTCCCCGTTCACTCTGGTAGTATCCACCTAAATTGGCCCATATTCTTTTGAAACACTTTCATTTAATTATAAGGTCATTTTTATCTCTTCCACTTGTTTTCCAAAGGTAATAATAAATTAATTATTTTAATTTATTCTACATTTATTTTAGTCAGTTTATTTATCATACTAATGATCATGTAGGCAATATAAGATATCCCAAATGACCACTAACATCCAAAGAGTAAGCCTGGAAATTTTTTCTGGTTCCTAGATTTTGATTAAATTTTTTTTTCTTCAAGGATTATTCTAGCATCTCATCAAGTGAGGTAAGTCAGCTTTTCTTTTAACATCAAATAGAAAGTTCATGAAGAACTAGCAGATTTCCAGCAAAGTGTAAATTAATTAGTTGTTAACTTCATAAATAGGGCAAGCAGTGAAGAAATCATTTACTCAAAGTTAATGTAATTTTGGGAAAATGAAAAGTGACCATCTCCACCAGTTGTTCTTTGACAGAGATATCAGATCTCTGATTCCAGAAGAAAGTGCATTTTAAATCATGCCAGTGCCAAATCAAGAGCCTACCATTTGCCTTCAACATAGTTTTATCCTGAAAAATCTCTCAATATTGCTCAGTTCATTAGTTCTCAAATTGTTACTCTTCAGCTAGCAGATTCAGCATTTTCTGGGTATTCTGATACAGTTTTAAATGTGAGAACCTCTTGGTTAAAAAAAATGAATGTGGGAATGGGTTAAGATGTGTAGGTCACTGGTACCAGAAACACCTGCTGTAGTAGAAATATCCAAGCTGCAGACACAATGGAAAAAGCTGTTTGGAGAAGGGGTAAGCATATCTGTGGCTCAGGCACAGCCCGAAGCCTTCCCACTTAGAGTCTAGGAAACAAGCTTTATTGTTTCTCTAGGCTGCAAGTCCATCTCAGAAGGAGAGCCAATGGCCACTTCTAAATAAGAATTGTGTCTTCTAGAAAGAGTATGCAGGAATCAGTTTTTTATCTACTTAGTAATATTTTTGGTCACCTGCCTACATTCTGTAGGCATTGGATATTGTGTGAATAATGTAGAATTGATTTAAAAAAAAACACAAAATTTAAAAAGAAAACTTTCAAATGAAAAACATTTTCAGCCACATGTTATTACTCAGACATGGGTAATGATAAATATTTCCATTAATTGAATTCCTCCTAACTGATATAATTTCTCAGTAGTACCTGCTGGAGCCCTGAGTACTCAATTAATTGGCCCTTTTACTCTCATACAACTGTAAGGCTAAATCATGCAGGTTAAGTTAATTCTTTTTTTTTTTCTTTCCCTAAGGAATCTGCTGAAGTCTCCACAGAGGTAATTTTCATTCAAATGAAATAATTAGTACATAAAATCTATTTTCTTCCAGGGTATTTTTAATAGCAAGTGCTTTTGTTTTATTAATGGAGAGGTAAGTTCACACTACCCAAAGCAACTGGTACATTTCTAATATAAACTATAATTTCTAGTAAATAATCATATTATGGCTTTTTCTTCTCCCAAATTGTCAGATAGCTCATTTCATCCCAATGAGATAATTACCCCAACATTTATAGCAATATGTATTTTTCCACTTGTGCTACTTCAATTTCCAGCTATTATCTTGTCCGATATGTGGAGTTATACATTAGGAAAAATGATCAGTGAGATAATTGCTCAAGGAGTCACAAACCTCAGAAAATTAGTTTCAAGTTTAAATGATGAGAGTTAGGTACCAGTGTAGTGGAAGTATCCCATCACTCCCCACTCAGCTTCTTCCTGTCAATGGCATCATACATGGCTGTTTCGAAAGTAAAGGTCTCAAGTCTCATAGGCCATCATGTAGCCTACTCTTTGCAGACTGCGACGTTTACTGTCTGTGCAAGGAAAGAGCAGATGCTTTGGAGTCGGCAACCGGCATATCAACCACAAATCCATGAGTTATTATGGAATGTCTCTAAGCTACCGTTTCTCCAACTAAAAGTAGTCAATCAATTGCCCCTTTTACTCTCATACAACTCTAAGGCTAAAATCATGCAAGTTAATTCTTTTTTTCTTTCCTTAAGGAATCTGCTGAAGTCTCCAACGAGGTAATTTCCATTCATAGCTATACTAACCCTGAAGAATTACATTAGATAATATGTATGTAAAACATGTTTTGTATAAAAATTTGGGCACAGTAGGTAGACGCATCCTAAAAAGTTAATATATTATTATCATACTAGAGGCCTGTCATGCAAAATTCTTGCATTTGGAAGGGAGGTCCCTCAGCCTGGCCTGCGCCCTCTCGCAGTCCAGGAGCCCATGGGGCATGTTCAACTGACAGCTAAGCCGGCAGTCAGACATCCTTAGCAATGCCACGGAGGCAGGAGAGGCTCCTGCCATCACCACTGCGCTCGCCAGGCGTGAGCCTAGCTTCTGGCTGAGCAGCGCTCCTCCTGTGGGAGCGCACTGACCACCAGAGGCAGCTCCTGCATTGGGCATTTGCCCCCTGGTGGTCAGTGCATGTCATGGCGACCAGTCATTCCACCGTTCGGTAGATTTGCATATTAGCCTTTTATTATATAGGATTACTACATGGAGTAGACATTACTTTTAAAATGTTTATAACAAAAACAATCTTTTTTTAATACTGAAAAATGGGGCTCTCCTAATAAAACCTTTCTCTTTAGGAAATTTTAATTATTATAAAGACCATTCTTATACTTTGTCAAAATGCTTCCAGTAGCATTCTGCCTTTGTGCCACTATTAACCTAACTATGGATTCATTCAATAATTACTCCCAGAAATTCTATAGAGCAATTGACATTTATTACACCCATTTCATTTGTATGAAATAAAAATTATCCTGAGAATGATACTATGTGGTTTCATATTTAATCTCTTTAAAAATGTTTAGATCATAGGCTTTGTAATTTACTAGACTATTTATTGAGCCTGGTAGATGATAGCTAAATGACTGAAGTTTATAGAGGATAGATAGATTATAGATAGATAGACATTTAAAATCAGGCACTATGCAAACTTATATATATTATAACATACATAATTTTACATAGTACTTATAATGCTTAGAGAGATTAAACAATCTGATCAGGGTCTGCTAAGATTTGCTTTGACCCTTGAAAGAAATTCAATTTGAAGTAAATTTGATAATTTTCTGTGTCTTTTAGAACAAAATCAACCAGTTTTATCAGAAGTTGAACTATCTCCAATACCTCCAGGCTATTCCTCAACCTCAGATTGTTATGAACCCATGGAATCAGGTTAAAGCAAGAGCCTTTTTTTTCCCCACTGTGGTGAGTGCTGAATTTTGTTTTTTTGTTTTGTCTATTAGTCTAAGGGCTTTTATATTTTATTTTGTAAGAGATTAACTCGGGATAAAGATATGTAAAATAGCTAAAAACAAATGCCCAAATAAGTTCTAACTTAGTAAGTACAGTAAAGCAATTGTAAATAAAATCTTGTGATTCAGAAATTAAATTGCAAATAACAGAATAATAAATAGCAACAATAATAGTGACAAGTGAACAATTTTATTTAAATTTAATAAACATGTCCTAAGTGTTTGCTCATATAACTTTAGTTTGGGAAAAGATAAAAATCATTATGTTTATGTAACAAGATAGTAATGTAAGAA